TCTAAAGGGGAAAACAATCCAAGTAGTGTGGGAAACTCTGAAAAATGCGATTATAAAAGCCCATACCAGCACAATACCACTGAAAAAGAAAAACAAGAAATTCAAGAAGAAACCAGCATGGCTGCACATAGATCTCTCTGACAAACTGAAAGACAAAAAGGACAAATACAAAAAATGGAAAGAGGGGCACATAACTAAGCCCAATTATCAATAGACAGCCAGAACATGCAAAGATAAAGTCAGGAAAGCAAAGGCTCAGATGAACAAAGACTTGCAACAGAAATCAAAGATAATATAAATTAATATTAACAACAAGAAAAAAGTCAAAAACACTGTAGTTCCACTAAAGAGAGAAGATGGCAAGGAAATAACAGGCAACAGGGAGAAAGCAGAGCTGCTTAACTTATGCTTTGCATCAGTCTTCACAAAAAAAAGAAATTACAGCCCAACATAGCAAAAAAATACTGCAAAAGACAAACTAGAAACAAAAATTAAAATAAGCAAGAAAATGGTAAGAGAAGGCCTATCTGACCTTGATGAATATAAATCACCGGGACCTGACAGATTACACCCCAGAGTTCTGAAGGAGCTGGCAGATGTTATCTCAGAACCATTGCACCACATCTTTCATAAATCCTGGAGCACCAGGGAAGTACAGTACCTGAGAATTGGAAAAGGGCTGATGTGGTTCCCATTTTCAAGAAAGAAAAAAAAACGGACCCAAGAAACTACAGACCAATCAGTTTAACATCAATACCTGGGAAGATCCTAGAAATGATAATCAAAAAACAGATCTACGAACAATTAAAACAGTGGTTGTCAACCTTTTTAATGCCGTGACCCCAACCGGTCGTAAGTCGAGGACTAAACCGGTCGTAAGTCGAGGACTAAACCGGTCATAAGTCGAGGACTAAACTGGTTGTAAGTTGAGGACTACCCGACCGGTCATAAGTCGAGGACTTTCCCTGCCCGGGAGCGCCGTGCATGCGTGGTTCCGCCCCCTGCGCCGGCCGAGGCGTAGCTGGCAAGCGGCAGAGACGGAGCAGGCCGACCACCAGCTGGCCCAGCCCAAGGGAGGTAAGGCACCCGCCAGAAAAGGGGAAAAAATGGCGGACAAAAAAAAATGGCGGACAGCCTTGCTTGGCGACCCCCATGAAATGGTTGATCGACCCCAAATGGGGTCCCGGCCCACAGGTTGAGAACCACTGAATTAAAAGCAAACAAAGTTATAATTAGTAGCCAGCACAGGTTTGTTAAAAACAGATCATACCAAACCAATCTTATTTCATTCTTTGATAAAGCGACTAAACTAGTAGACCAGCGAAATGCTGTGGACATAGTATACTTAGAGTTCAGTAAGGCATTTGACAAAGTAGCCCACAACCTACTCTTTGGTAAGCTAGAAAAAGGTGGAATAGACAACATCACCACCAGATGGATCTATAGCTGGCTGGCAAACCATACTCCATGAGTAGTCCTCAATGGAATTACATCCACATGGAGAGAAGTAAGCAGTGGTGCACCACAAGGTTCTGTCTTAGGTCCAGTACTCTTCAATATCTTCATCAATGACTTAGATGAGGGAATTGAAGGGGAACCCATCAAATTTGCAGATGACTCCAAGGAATAAATTTAAGCTAGAATTGGATATTTTAAATATACTATGCTATTTGAGGGAAAAAGAGAGGGAATACTTGATGTATTGATTGTACTATGTATATATGTTTTGTTCTAGGATGTTTGATTACCCCAGCACCATGGTGTGTCCTGAGTACTTTGTCTTAAGAATTAAAAAACCAATAAAATGTGTTTCAAAAAAAAATATTTGCAGATGACACCAAACTGGCAGGAGTAGCCAATATCCCAGAAGACAAACCAAGGATCCAAAAAGATATTGACAGACTTGAACAATGGGCTCTAGCTAACAAAATGAGTTTCAATGTGGAGAAAAGCAAATTCTTACATTTAGGCAGGAAAAATCAAAGGTACAAGTACAGATTAGGCAAGACCTGGCTTAAAAACAGTAACTGTGAGAGGGACCTTTGAGTCCTAGTGGACCATCACTTGACTATGAGCCAGCAGTGTGCAGCAGCAGCCAAAAAAGCTAATACAATCCTGGGTTGTATAAACAGAGTCATAGAATCAAGAACACGTGAAGTATTAGTACCGCTTTATAAAACCCTAGTAAGATCACACCTGGAATACTGCAGCCAATTTTGGTCACCATATCACAAAAAAGATGTTGAGAGTCTGAAAAAAATTCAGAGAAGAGCAACTGAGATGATCAAAGACTTGGAGACTAAACATATGAAGAACGGCTGCAGGACTTGGGTTTGGCTAGTCTAAAGAAAAGAAGAAATAGGGGAGACAAGATAGCAGTATTCCAGTATTTGAGGGGCTGCCACAAAGAAGAGGGGGTCACATTATTCACCAGAAGACAAGAAACAATGGTTGGAAACAGATCAAAGAGAGAAGCAACCTGGAATTAAGGAGAAACTTCCTGACAGTGAGGATAATTAACCAGTGGAACAGCTTGCCTCCAGAAATCGTGGGAGTTCCATCACTGGAGATTTTTAAGAAGAGGCTAGACAGTCACTTGTTTGAGATGGTATAGGTTTTCCTGCTTGAGCAGGGGGCTGGACTAAAAGACATTCAAAGTCCCTTCCAGCTCTATTCTATTCTATTCTAACATTTGCGGACATTCAACTCTTAATAGATGGTGTGCTGTGAAGGGGTATTCCATTCATCTGGAACAGTGGGCTGTCTTCTTCTCCAAACCAAGGATGTCTCCTGTTCTCATGACTGAATGCTGAGTAGATGTTTGATGCTTTATGAACATGCAGTCATTAACTATAATTTAGTTTGGAGGGTTGTGCTATTATTGTTATATTTCAAACTCTTATGTTTTTAATTATTGCACTACATCTACAGTCCATTTGAATAGAGGTGATAGATAAATCTTGATAGGATAAAAGGGAGGGAGGGAGGGAGGGAGGGAGGGAGGAAAGAAAGAAAGAAAGAAAGAAAGAAAGAAAGAAAGAAAGAAAGAAAGAAAGAAAGAAAGAAAGAAAGGGACAATTCAATCTGACCATCAGAAAGACCTCTCAGTTCCATATAATACTATTCCTCTGCCCTTAGATAAATTAATTCATAAATTAAATTCATTTATATTCAAAGTAAATTGATATTCTCTAAAAATGCTTCTACCAATATCAGGTTTCATTTCTGCTATCAATGTCAAGTATCAGTCCTGCCCTTTCACCCTAAAGTTCTTCTTTACAATTTTTTTGGTAGAGCACATATCCTGTTTTGGTGAAGCCTGACCCAAAAAAGGAGTTGAGTAATTCAGCCTTTTCTGTTTTCAGGTAATATTTTGACATCTTCAGTGAGTAGATGGTGTATTGATTCATTGGTTTTCCTCTCATTTTGAATATCCTTTATCTGAATAAGCTTTTTATATTGTTGCTCGTGGCATCCTAAACAACCTCAACTCATATTAAGCTTCCTGATATCACTTCTACAATTGTAGCCTACTTCTACCAGTTACTGAACTCTTTTCCATTTCCAGTGTATGTCCATTTTTGTTTTCAAAACTTCACAGAGATTTTTGGGCAGCTACCCACATGACTTCCTCTATCTGGTTTTCTTCACTGAAACTATTTGATGTTTATTACTTAATTACCACCTGCCTTGAACTCCTATTCTCATAAGATTCTTTTGCCAAAAAGTCCTACTGTCATTACCCTGAATTTATTAGACGTTTTTGTACCACTAGATATGTATTTGGCTGAATTCAGTCCATATTTCAAGGAAATATAATATCTGGGTTGTAAATGTAGATTGAAGAGGTCATAGCAGTTACATACAGTATCAGAGTGCATTTTCCCTATGGATAAAAGAGTCAAGATCCAGTTCCTGGCCATAGCTGAGATAGACATCTATGAAATGTTTGTAGATTAATTTTGGATCTGTTTATTTTCTGCTTATAACCACAATAGTGGCTGGATTGGTGATGCAGGAGTGGGAGAATGACATATTTTAAAAAATGCATCAGCCATACAACACATTATTCAATAGCATCTCTATCCAGTGATTGGAAAAGTTTCATATATTCAATATCTGCTTGACTGTTTGATATGTGCTAGAATATTCACTATCCCGGGACAAACTGAATAACTTCTTGGATGAGAAGCGAGACATTTTCAAAGAAAAAACCAAGAAAGTCCAGTTGACTTTTGGAAAAAAGCACCTTTGGGATAACCATGACCTGGATGATTGAGAATCTCCATAGACATCCAAGGACAAAGTTGATCTGAAAGATGAAAGCAGATTTAGTTATGCAAATCCTGGCATGTTGGTTCTGGCAGAAAGTAGGGGGCGATGCCATAACCGATGAAGCTTCTTGGGTGAGGTGTGAAATGTCTTCTTCCTCAAGGGAAAAAACAGTCCAGTTGTCTTTTGAAAAAGCACCTTTGAAGCAACTGTCACCTGGATGTCTGAGAATCTCCACAGATGTTTCTATATATACTTTTACAGCACAATCATAACAAAAATCATAGTTCATACATTCCAGGGACAATCCTTTTTGTCTAAATTGAAAGCTATTAATATATTATCTTGATATGACAAAAGACACCAAGACTGTATAACATTTTGTTCTTTTGAAAAGAAGCACACATTATTTTATACTGTAGAATAAATGCCCTATTCAAAGGAGTTTCATAAACTCAGTGTTCTGTTTTACTTTACACACAAGGTGGTGCTATTGCACCAAACAGTAAAAAGAGAGATTCATTTATTTCAGGATGATCTAGTCATTAGACAAAGGAATCTCAGAACAAAAGGCAACAGCTCTCAACTTAAATCTTGAGAAATTTCCGAAGAAAATATTCCAGCATGAATACCAAAAAATAACTCCTGCTGGATTCTGATAACAACTATAAAAGAAATTGTAGGAGCTGCTTTACGAAGAGTCATATTCCCAGAGAAAGGCTGAGAAAATGGAAGTATCTCCTCCTAGCAGGCAAGTGGTCTTGTTCTTTATTTCTCTATGTAGCTCTGGTATGTTGTGTGAACCGTTCCGCTATTCAGTGCCTGAGGAGAAGAAAGCTGGATCAATAGTAGCAAATGTGCTAAAAGATTTGAAGGTAGATGTGAAGGAGCTCTCTGCTCGCAGAGCACAGTTGATTTCTAAGAGTTCCAGGCAGGATTTCCAGCTGGATCCTCACTCTGGGAATATAATATTAAGGGATAAAATTGACCGAGAAGCTTTGTGTGGTCTGACTGATCTTTGCACTCTATTCTCTGAAATTTTGCTGGAAAATCCTTTGCAAGTGTTCACAATTGAAGTTCAAGTAGAAGATGTCAATGATAATTCCCCTACATTCTCTCAGAATCAATTCCTTTTTGAAATACCTGAACAGACTCCCATAAATGCACGTTTCCCTTTGGAGAAAGCACAAGATTTAGATAAAGGAAAAAATGCTATCCAAAACTATATACTTAGCACAAATGAATATTTTAAGCTGAATGTACAAAGTCAAAACGATGGCAGCAAATATGCAGAACTGCTTTTGGTAAAACCATTAGACCGCGAGGTGATCCCTCAGTTTATCCTCACTCTGGAAGCTGTGGATGGAGGGATCCCAAGGAGAACTGGCACAGCACAGATAATTATTGAAATTCTGGATAACAATGATAACGTGCCCCAATGTGAACAAGAAATCTATAAAGTGCAGTTGATGGAAAGTAGTCATCAAGGTTCATTGGTTGCTAAAGTTGAAGCCACTGACAAAGATATTGGATCCAATGCTCGCATCATTTACACTTTTAGCCAAGCACTAGCAGATGTGCTTCGATCATTCAGCTTAAACAATCATACTGGGGAAATTACGCTTATAGGGAAAATTGATTATGAAGAAAACCATAATTATGAACTCAACATAAAAGCCACAGATGGAGGAGGACTCTCCACTTACTGTAAAGTTCTTGTTGACATTGAAGATGAGAATGACAATGCCCCAGAAATAGTTTTATCATCCATCACTAATCCTTTACCAGAGAATTCTCCCCCAGAAACGCTGGTGGTACTTTTTGGCATCAGAGATCAAGACTCTGGAGACAATGGCAGAACTACCTGCAACACTGACAAAAACCTGCCTTTTATATTAAAACTGACTGAGAACAATTATTACCAGCTTGTGACTCAACAGCCACTGGACAGAGAACAAATGTCACAATATAACATCACCATCACAGCCACTGACCAAGGTTCTCCCAGACTCACTTCAATGACAGTTATTAGCATTCAACTTTCAGACGTCAATGATAACCCTCCAATGTTTGAAAGATCTTTCTACAATTTGCACTTGAGAGAAAACAACATTCCAGGACTGCTCATTGGATCAGTCCACGCTGTGGATGTGGACACAGAACAAAATGCCAAATTGACCTATTGGCTTTTGCCTGGGAAAATCAGGGATGTCCCCGCATCATCTTACATCTCCATCAACTCCGAAACCGGGAACCTGTATGCCATCCGATCTGTGGATTATGAGGATATACAAGATTTCCAGGTGATGGTGAGGGCTGTAGACAAGGGCTCGCCTCCACTGAGCTCAGAAATCATGGTCCGAGTTCTTATCAGAGATGAAAATGACAACGCCCCCTTCGTCCTCTGCCCCCTTCAGAACAGCACTTCTCCATCAAAGGAGCTGGTTCCCAGGGGAGCAGAGACAGGCTACCTGGTCACCAAAGTGGTGGCAACGGACAGGGATTCAGGGCAGAATTCTTGGCTTTCCTATCAATTGCTGAAGGCCACAGATCCGAGTCTCTTCGCTGTTGGGACTCAGAATGGGGAAGTGAAAACCATGAGGCCGGTGAACATCCGAGACAGTTTCAAACACACTCTTATTGTGGCAGTTAGGGATAACGGGCATCCGCCTCAGTCTGTCTCTGCGACCCTAAGAATTCTTCTAGTGGACGGCTTCTCTGATTCGTACATGAAAATTATGGATAATCCTAAGAGTGAAGTCCCGCAGGAGGAAGATCATACTCTAACCATGTATTTGATTATCTGCTTGGTTGCCATCTCATCCATTTTTCTGCTTTCTGTCATGGTGTTTATTGCCACCAAGTTTCAGAAGCGAAGGAAGTTCACAGGAAGTTCTCATTCTGCATCTAATTTCCCCGTGGGACCAAGTTCACAAGACAAGTGTGTGGATCCTAATACTGGGACACCTTCCCAGGCCTTCAGCTATGAGGTATGCTTAGCTGATGGATCTCTGAGCAGTGAGTTCAAGTTCCTTAGGCCTTTCTTTCCTGTTTTTACTATGGAGCATCGAAAAACTCTGCTGAATCCACAGATTAGAAATGATTGCTGTGATCTTCCTAATCAATTGGAGGAAAGAGAGGATATATCCCAGGTGAGAATAATTATTAACGCAATTAATTTTAAATCTATATAGTTTGAATGATTCAGAAATAATTAAGTTTTAAAAATGGAATAGTGTCTATTAAAGTACATTATCATGAATTTCCATATAACTAGTTCTTTTAGGGTAATGTACTGACAAATTTGTATTGGTTTTACATGTATTTTAATTTCTACCTGGGTATTTATCCTGCACTGTCATATGTAATTTGGTAGGTGAGAAGTTATGAAATACATACTGCCTTAAAAGAAAACTGTACAATTTTCCAGGAAGGAAACAATTTGTGAGGTTTTTGAAATGTGGAAGCTACAGCTGGTGCAGCATGCGGCGGCATGGGCAATTCTTGGGGCCTGAAGGATGGCCCAGGTAACACCACTGCTCCACAAGCTCTATTGGCTGCCTGTCTGCTTCCAGGACCAATTCAAGGTGTTGGTAGTCCTTCATGGCATGGGTCCAGGCTATCTGAGGGACCGTCTTATCCCAGTGGGATTGGCCCATTCCACCCGTGCCAGCAGAGGAGGCATGCTGCAAGCCCCGTCAGCCCGATTGTTCCAGCTAGTAGGTTCCAGGAGAAGGGCCCTTTCTGCTGTTGCATCTGTCTTCTGCAACATCTTGCCCCCTGGTGTGAGGTCAGCCCCAATCCTCATATCCTTTTATAAGGACCTAAAAACCTGGCTGTGCCAATTAGCTGGGGGCCCCAATGGGGGAGCATCACAGTGGGGGTGGTTGATCGATTAACAACATTCCACCTCCACCACATCCTGACTCTACACCCCCCCCCATTTATAATTAGATCATAGTGTTTGTGGGTATTAATTTATTTATGTTATATGTGTGTGTGTGTGTGTGTGTATGTATGTATGTATGTATCTATATCTACATCTACATCTACATCTACATCTCTATCTCTATCTCTATCTCTATCTCTATCTCTATCTCTATCTCTATCTCTATCTCTATCTATCTATCTATCTATCTATCTATCTATCTATCTATCTATCTATCTATATATATATATATATATATATATATATATATATATATATATATATATATATATATATATATATATATATATATATATATATCTTGAGTGCTTTTTATGCACCCTGTCGACCCAAATATGGGAGAAAGAAATCTTTTGCCTGTATCAGCTCAAACTAGAGCCATCCACAGGCAGCAGTTGCAACTGCGACATCATATATGTTTTTAAAAATTTGAATTGCTAACAAAGAATTAAGGGAGAACTGGAATAGCTATTTCGAACTTATATATGTATATATATATATATATGTAGGTCTTTGGTTATTCGGGTTTTCACCTACTAGATGCAATGCTCCTAGAAGCACGAAGCCGAAAACACCAGCCTGAAGATGACGAATGGGACTTCGTCAAAACGTCGCCAAGACACTTCCAATTTTACACGGGAGAAAACTCGAATAACCAAAGACCTACATACAAACACCCGCAAAAACCTCAGAAAACACATATATATATCTTCTCTGATTGTAAGCTACCAAGAGTTAGCAATAGATAGCAATAGCAGGTAGACTTATATACCGCTTCACAGTGCTTTATAGCCATCTCTAAGCAGTTTACAGAGTCAGCATATTGTTCCCAACAATCTGGGTTATCATTTTACCGACCTCGGAAGGATGGGAGGCTGAGTCAACCTTGAGCCGGTGAGAATCGAACTGCTGAACTGCTGGCAATCAGCAGAATTAGCTGCACTCCTGCATTCTAACCACTGTGCCACCTCGGCTCAGTTACCTTGTGGTAAGACAGCAGCCAATAAATTTTATTTATTTATTTATATATATTTTTCTTTTTACGACTGTGTAATCCCTTCATTTGGGACAATGTTGGGGTGACTTGAATGCAGCCGAGCATGTACTGGCCAGATGCTCTTCCTGACACCTACTCAGAGTTTGCAGTAGATATTTTCTCTTTGTGCCCCGATAGAGAAACATTTGTCACTGCCTAGGATTGAACTATCAACCTTCTGAATGGGAGGCAAAGCATCTTCATTTGTAGGCCACCACACTGCTCTAATGAATTTTATAAACAAAAAATAAAATGTTGCAGGGAGTTGAATGGGTGTTTTAGGGAAGGAATGTGGACTGAATGAAAAACAATTTAAATGAAATTTGAGCACATTGATTAGAAACAGAAGGGTTTATAATGTAGCTCATGATCAAGGCTTAACTCTGATTGATGGAGAGTGATACAAGTGATTTAACGCTTAAGCAGGTCAGGATTTGGGGAAGTGTGTGGTAAAGACAGCCATAAAGGAATGTAACAAACAATTGCTTTTCTGAAACAGTAAGGTAGAAAGGTGATCTTGGGCCAATCTCTCTCTCTCTCTCTCTCTCTCTCTCTCTCTCACACACACACACACACACACACACACAAACACACACAAACACACACACATTCACCCCTCCACACAAAGAGATAACTCATAGATAATAAATCATAAGACACAATCATAAATCATAGGATATAATCAATTGATATATCATAATATACCATTATCAGAAAGAACTGGATTACACCCTTTATTAATAATTTTTTGTGCAGATTGTTACTCTGTTTCTTTTCTATATAATTAGATAGTTCATAAGATAATCTGCTAGTGGATAGATAAAAATGGATTTAATGTAAGTATTGTCTAAACAATGGAAATAGAAGTTTTGCCTAGTTCACCACATGGTGGCGATATTAACAAAGAAACCTAGTTCTACTTCCTCACTATCAGGGCAGACAGTAATACAAAATTGAACAAAAGGAATCTGACTCTTTTTGCGATGAGACATATGCAGATTATAAAATGGCAAAGACTGAACAATTAAAAATGATTTGCACAACTAAATCATAAAGAAAGGAAAGAANGAGACTGGAATCATGGAGAATTGCTTTTGGAAAAGACAAGGTCTGTATGTGCTTCTCTCTTTCTCATTCTTTAGAGTAATGTGTGCTTCAATTCGCTTTTCTGTCCCTGAAGAAAAGAAAAAGGGGTTTCTGGTGGCTAATGTGCTCAAGGAATTGAAACTGGAAGCAGGGGAGCTCTCAACCCGCAAAGCACATTTAGTTGCTGAGGGCACTCAGGAATACTTCCACCTTGATATTCAGACTGGGAATCTGTTGATTAAGGATAACATAGACAGAGAAGCTTTATGTGGCCAGAATGATCCTTGTGTACTTCTATCTCAGCTTGTTTTGGAAAACCCCTTAGATATCTTTAATATTGAAATCAAGATAGAAGATGTGAATGACAATGCCCCCAAATTTTGGAAAAACAATGTGGAGATAGACATTCCTGAAAATATTCCTATAAGTATGATATTTCCCTTGGAATTAGCCCAGGATGATGACTTAGGAGATAATAGCATCCAAAATTATATTCTCAGTCCCAATGAGCATTTTCAGCTTGAAGTACATAAGAATGAAGATGAAAATGATAATATATATCTTGTTTTGAAGAAAACATTAGATAGGGAGGAGATGCCATACCTTGGATTGACTCTAATGGCTATTGATGGAGGAGCTCCAAAGAAAACCGGTACAGTTCAAATTAATATTAATGTTCTGGATAATAATGATAACTTTCCTCTGTTTAGCAAGTCTGAATATAAGGCAAGAATAAAGGAGAATCTCCCTCAGGGCACTCTTGTAGTTAAGGTGGAAGCCACAGATCTGGATTTGGGTTCAAATGCACAGATCCTCTACTCATTCCATCAAGTGCCAGAAAGAATAATCAATTTGTTCAATTTAAATGAAAGAACAGGAGAAATCACTGTTTGGGGTCAGATTGACTATGAAAAAGAAAAGAGTTACAGCATGAACATCAGAGCAACAGATGGAGGGGGTCTTCCAGATCACTGCAAATTACTAATAGAGGTTGAAGATGTGAATGACAACCCCCCAGAAGTGTCCATCATATCTCTGACCAGCTTCTTAAAAGAGGACTCTCCCCCAGACACAGTAGTGGCCGTCTTCGGTGTTAGAGATCAAGACTCTGGAGACAACAGCAAAACGGTCTGCTCCGTGGAGATGAATCTCCCTTTTGTGCTCAAAGGCACCACAAACAACTTTTATCAGCTTGTGCTCCAAAGTCCCCTAGACAGAGAGACGGTCACTGAGTATAACATCACCATCACAGCCATTGACTGCGGCTCTCCTAGGCTCACTTCAACAAGACTGATTAATGTTCAGATCTCCGATGTCAATGATAACCCTCCTCTTTTTGAAAAGCCTTTATATGACATGCAGATCCGGGAGAATCATATTCCAGGCTTGCTCATCGGCTCAGTCCACGCTGTGGATCTGGACACAAACCTGAATGCTAAAGTGACTTACTCAGTTCTGCCTGGGAAGGGTGATGGCCTTTTGCCCACTTTCATTTCAATCAACTCTGAAACTGGAAACCTGTATGCCCTCCGATCCCTGGACTATGAGCAGATAAGAGGCTTCAGAGTTACTGTGAGGGCCTCTGATGGTGGTTCTCCTTCCCTGAGCTCACAAGTGATTGTCCGCATCNGGCTTTCCTATGAATTGCTGAAGGCCACGGACCCAGCCCTTTTCAGCATAGGAGCGCAGAATGGGGAAGTGAAAACCAGGAGAGCCCTGAATGAGCGAGACACAAACAAGCAGAGGCTGGTGATTCTGGTCAGAGACAACGGTCTTCCTCCCCAGACCAGCACGGCGTTGCTTAATGTCCTTCTTGTGGATGGCTTTTCAGATCCCTTCCTGAGGAGGGTGGATGTCAGTGTGCAAGAACCGGAAGAAGATAAAACCTTGACCAAGTATTTGGTGATCTGCTTGGCTGCTGTCTCCTTTGTGTTCCTGGTCTGTATTGTTGTGTTTGTTGTGGTCAAAATCCTCAAGAAGGACCGCCAAAGCCATTTTACTGCAGCTGTTCCTCACTTCCCACCTGCCAGTGCTGATGCCCCAGAGAACTGTGCTGATTCACAGAATGGGTCGCTTTCCAGGACTTACCGTTATGATGTTTGTTTGACTGGTGGATCCTTAAGTAGCGAGTTCCGATTTCTCAGGCCTCTCTTTCCTGTCCTGTCCTGTCCTGGGGGAGATGTTAACATCCCAGGCAACCACTGGACTTCTTCTGGCCCTGAAGATTTATCCAAGCAGGTTGCAGTTAATGGGAGAACGAAAGAGGTGAGGAAAAACATACAATTAATTCAGCCTCTTTCTATTTATTCTCCCTCTGTTTTTTTTGCTCTATCAGTTATTCTTGAACTGCATGCTGGTTATTTATTTAAAAAACAGGCAATTTTACTTTAATGTTAGTTGAGAGCATAGATCACAATTCTTTTACAGGTAGTCAGTCCTTGGTTAACAGCTACTCCTTTAGTGAACATTTGGTATTATAATGCGCTGGGTGGTAGTTACGACCGGTCCTAGACCTTCCAGCTGTCCTGGAACCTCCCTGATCACTTGATTCTGATCTGGGCACTTGGCAACCAGCTCACACTTAGGATGGTTCTGCATCCCATGGTCATGTAATTTTCAGCCTTCGCTGCAGGTTTCCCACAAGCAGTTTCAATGAGGAAGCTGGCAGGGAGGGTTGCAAACTGCTCGGGTAAGTCTTACCTGGCTGCATACATTCCCCCAGCCTCTCTGCAGTCACGCTGCGCCTTGCACACTCTCCCCAGGCCTCACTGTGCTCCCGCTGTGTGTCCTGGCCATTTGCAGTCTTGGTGCACTCCAGGAAGAAAAAATTATAATGACAGCTATGGGGGGGAAGGGAGTGATCTGGAAGCAAAGCTATTAGGGTAATTAATGGCATTGAACACAACAAATGTAATTGCAGGACTGATTTGAAAGAAGTTTCATTCATAAAATTATCAAGGTCAAAGAGGAGAATGGATCTAGATATAGCATAATATACATGTACATGTACATGTAGATATATATGAATTATAAAGAATATCGGTATTTTGGAGCGGTACAAGTAGATTGTAGAAATATGCTTCTCTCTTTGGTCAGTTTCCAACCATTGTTTCTTGTCCTGCCCTCTGGTGCTTTGGTGAATAACGTGACCCCCCCTTCTTTGTGGCAGCCCCTCAAATACTAGAATATTGCTATCACGTCTCCCCTATTTCTTCTTTTCTTTAGACTAGCCAAACTCAAGTCCTGCAGCCGTTCTTCATATGTTTTAGTCTCCAGGCCTTGCTAACTCTTGCATTGCTAATAATTAATTGGTTTGTAACCAATTTCTATTCCAACATTTTTTGAAACTTTATCACCTTCTCCAGAACTCTTTATTACTACGGGCCTCTCAAATTGTAGCACTGCAGCATCCAAAAATTATAAATGAATTTCCGCAAAACTTCATCCAAAATAAAACTAATTATTTAATTGTAGTTAGGGTTGGGCAAGAAATGAATAACCACATACTTTTAATTTAATTTAAACTTTAATCACTTTATCACAGGAGTTCTCTTTGCAGTTGTGGACTCTGCTGTCAAAGCAAGGAGTTAGGCCCAGAGCAAATGCTGATAGTACTATCATTTTGTCAAGACAAGATTGCCCTCTACATTCCTTTAAATTTCTTTGAGTTGCAATACAGTTTGAGAAACCACGAAGCCCTAGTATGAAACCCGTTATTAGTTAACCTTAGTCCTTTAGAACAGTGCATGCCATCTTGGAAAGGACAACTTTTCATCACTCTTGTGTCTCTATACTCTATTCCAAGCACGTTACAAGCCTGCAATGTCATTTTTGATTCACAAAGATTTAATCCAACTTCCACACTGCCAGCCTGGATTTGGAGAAAATAGCATGCAGTTTGTAAGTGTACATGGTTAGTATCAAGATTGAGAAGGACTGTTGCAGTTCAGTGTCAAAGAGTATTCATTTGTCTTTTAAAATAAATAAGGGCCCAGATTCAATTCCTGGCCATGACTGAAGATAAATTTTGGATTTGTTTAATATTTACTCACACAAACACAGTAGTAGCTGCATTTGGAAGTAGGAATGCCAAGTTGCACTAGCCATACTTTTTTCAGAAATTATCTAGTGATTGGGAAGGTTCCATTTATTCAGTATCTGCTTGATAGCATAGCCCTACGTTTATCTGAAAGATCAAGGCAGATTTGCCTATGTAAAAACTATAACAGCGTATCAGACTGAATAAAGTCTTTATAGTTCCTGGATATCAGAAGCATCAGTAGAAACTGGAACCACCTAATAACATTGCCTAAAATTGAAGGATCATATTAATTTTGATTGGTTGCACACTCAGCCGGATGTTTAGATTGAGTTTGGCATTTATATCCACCTATCATGTCCTTCCGAAGGACCTGGGATAGGTAGATATTGATGTTTAATGATGTTAAAGGTATCAACGCAGGATGTAAAGCTGCCTTTTGCAATTGACTGGTGGTGATTTTTTTCAGTGCCCATGGTTTTCAAGTGATACTCCAACTGTTTTGGGATTGGGATTAGGCAATTAGCTACATTTCCCTATATAATAACAGAAAACCCAACCCCCCAATCCGACCTTTTGAAATGACTTTGGTTCCCACGGCACAGAGAATTGTTTAGACTATCAAAAGAAAACCCTCTATTTCCCTCCTTCCGTGCTTATGGCAACCTAGAACGAGCAAGATGGCTTCAGCCAGGTTTGTTGTAGAGTTGACAGTCAGACCCCCTAAAGCACGGATGTCAAACTCGCCGCGTCACGTAACATGTCGCAACATATCGTGACTTTTTTTATATTGCCAGAGCTGGGGTGGGTGTGGCCTCCGCATGATGCAACCGGCCTGCAGGCTGGCAGTTTGACAACCCTGCCCTAAAGAGAAAGCAAATCCTGCAAGGAAAACAAAAGCATAAATTAGGAATCTGAGAATGTTTATCATAAAATTGCCATATTAGTCAGTCTGCCTTAACGTCCGCACTTTTCACCCACGTAGCTTCCGATAACGGATAACCTTTCCACTGCAGTAAGTATTGCAACTTCCCTTTATACAAACTAGAATCAAGAATGCGTTTGATTTCGTAATGGGCTTCCCCTTCAACTATAATGAGACCTGGTGCCTTCTTAGGGATTGGTCGTAATAAGGATTTCCTGGCAGGCTTTAGCAAACTGCAGTGGAAAACAGGGTGAATCTTCCCTAATAACCAAGGGAGTTTCAACTCAACTATAACAGGACTTACAATTTTAGTTATGGGAAAGGGACCAAGGAATTTAGGTCCTAATATCTTGCTAGGTAATTTAAGCCTTAAATATTTGGTAAATAGGTAGACTTTCTCCCCCACATAAAATGGCCTCTGAGATGATTGCTTCTTATTAGCGTGCTCTTTATACGTTTTTGTGGCTTGGGCCAATGCTTTCTTTACATTAGCCCAAACACCCTGCCACGATGTCACCCAATGGTCTAAGGTTTGCAAGATGGGGATTCTTGTGAATATTCAGGCATGGGAACAATTTCCCAGCCAGTAGCTATTTTGAATGGGGTAACTCCAGTGCTGCTGTATACTGTATTATTATATGCCACCTCAGCAAAAGGCAGGAGGTGAGCCCAATTGTCTGTTGGTAGTTAATGTAAAATCTAAAGTATTGTTCCACCATTGCATTCACGTGTTCAGCTGATCCATTAGTGCTCGGTTGAAAAGCTGATGAGAGCCCTTGAGTGGACCCAATTAGCTTGACAAAGTCTCTCCAGAACCTCACAGTAAATTGGACCCCCCCTATCCGATATAAACCTTTTTGACGCTCCATGGAGGCAGTAGATATGTTTCAGGAACAGCTTGGTAATTTTTGAGTGGAGGGGAGCCCTGAGCAAGCAGTGAAATGGGCTTGCTTTGAAAAGAGATCAATGACAGTCCAGATTACCGTATTTCCCTTAGTTTTTGGTAATTCAACAATAAAATCCATGGCTATCTCCTCTCAGGGTTGGGATGGATCTGCTACCAGTTGCAATAACTCTGGGGGCTTGCCAGGACATTTCTTCATGGTTGCACAAGTGGCACAGCTCTTTACATAGCTTTCAATGTCTTTTTTCATCCCTGGCCACGAGACTAAGTGCAATGTCTTTAAAAATCTAAAGTGGCCAGCCAGCTTGGCATCGTGACTACATTGAAGGGCTTGAATTCTGAGGGAAACTGGCAGGTATAGTTTGGACCCCTTCCAGGCTAAACCATCCCGATAGGTCAACAGGGTTTTATTCTCCTGGAACCAGGTATCAGTCTTTAATTCTTCTCTGAGCTTTTGGGTCGTGCAGCTTTCTGTCTCAGTAGATAGCCTTTGCATCTGACCTCTTGTGATCACATGAGAAACTGATTGCAGTAGCAGAATGATAGAATTAATGATTTCTTCTCAGCATCTTTTGTATTGGGGCATTCTCAACAAGGCATCAGCCAAAAAATTCATCCCTCCAGGGAAGTATTTCAAAGTAAAGTTAAAACAGTTAAAATATTATGCCCATCGTACTTGTTTAGGGGACAATTTTTGAGGGGTTTTCAGCATTTCTAGATTTTTATGATCAGTCTATACTTCATAAGGCACTTTGCTCCCGTCAAGGAAGTGGCCTCAAGTTAGCAGCACCCATCTTACTGCAAAAGCCTCCTTCTCCCAAACATCCCATCACCTCTCAGTGTCTGTCAGTTTCCTAGAAGGGTAGCCACAGGGTTGTAGGTCCCCCTTTTGGTTTCTTTGTAGCAGTACTGTTCCCACAGCTACATCACTAGCATCAGTTTGGATGATGAATTGCTCCTCAGGGTCAGGGTATTTGAGAACAGGTTCGGCTGCAAACAGTCTCTTTAAGTGCTTAAATGCTGCTTGGCATTCCATAGACCAATGTAACAGTTGACAAGATCGGGGCTTTTCCCCTCCTTTCCCAGTTTTCAGTAGCTCAGTGATTGGCAGAGCTATCTTAGTGAACGATGGAATGAATTGCCAGTAAACATTCACGAATCCTAGAACATTTTGAAGCTGCTTATGGGACAGTGGGGGCTGCCATTCCAGCACCATCTTAAATTTGGCAGGGTCCATCTCCACCTACTTCACTTATTGAAATGTGGGGCTGATGGAATTTACATTTAGAGAGCTTAGCATAAAGTTTACCCCTCAGCAGCTTCTTGAGTACTTCACGCACTAATTTGACATACTTTTCCATGGTGTCGGTATAAATAAGGATATCATCAAGGTAGAC